TTTCAGGGGCATAGATGCAATAAGACTAAGGGCGGGGTACTTTTGGTCTGATGGCGGTCGATGTTGTGCAACTTAAGGCAGATGGCATGTGCGGTGCATCAGAGGCCGTCCGATCCGTCTGTTTTAGTGACGACGGTTCGAGAGAGGCTCGTGAGGGTTGTGGCTCCTAGAAGTCGGACCTTCGGGTACAGACACGTGGCGTCTGTCACCGCGTGTTATGGTTAGGCTCCGTAGCTCCCGGAGTTCGGCGGTGTCCGTGTCGTCTGCAGTTTTTGCACGGCGTGCGGGGCCAATACGGGGCGATGGAATTCCACGATACCACCGTGAGTTGGTGATACGGGAGGAGGAGATGGAAGGGAGGGAAATTAGTAGTGATAACGACGAAGCCGGGGGTTATGAAGTATTGCGTGTTGTACGTAGTTGGGTAATCGGGGCACCTCGGATTGTTGGTTACGGCACAACGAAACTCCCTGGAGCACAATCGGTTCTCGGTTAGGCAGAAAAATTTCGGACGTCTCTGCCTAAGTTATTCTCTTACCCAAGGGTCGAAGTACTCTGAGTCCCATGAGTCTGACATCTTATCATAGCGCAATGAAAGCCTTCCACACGCATCCAACTGGCAAGGGGATTTCTCAATGGAAATTCCTATCTGTTTAGGTGCGTGAAGGAGGGAAAATTCCCGCCTATCCGATTCGTCAATGGCCGTGAATCGGCGCGCGTGGATACGTGTAAGCTGCATAGATCAGATCGCGCTTACACTGGTACGTAGCCCGCGAGGTATTCGCTTGTTTCTGGGAAAAAAAAAGTATAATTCCTCATGCAAAATCGCCATGTGTCACGGATAACTACCCAATCATCTAATCACTTAGTGATCCCGCAAGCAACCATTCCCGAGCATGCAAGGTGTCATTATACATCAGACGTCAAAATTTCTACTATGCTTAAGGGTGTATCAAAATGGCAGGCAAAGACAATGACCAGACAAAAAAACGACAGACATAACATTCATTCATCTAGTTATTTGACAAACACGCAATAGCCGAAATCAAGATCAATCGCAAACAAATGTGGGCTGAAACCGAGGCAAAGATTCCGAAAACAAAAGAAAACGGGCAAGTCACCCTGAGCCGATATCAAAATTTATATACAAAAGCAAAGAGGTAGACAAGACAAAAAAAATTGCAAATCCGCGTCCATCAACCTCAGCTCCCTCTTCCTCTCTCTCTCTCTCCGATGCGGACAGTCCGTCGTCACGCACCAACCCGCGAAGTCGTCACCCAGCTTAGTCCTCCTGCACCCGTCAGGTTCACCCGCGCGCTACAGTCCGTCGCAGCCCCACACGTCAACCCCGCGCATTCGGCACCGGCTCGTCGGGTCGCCCGACTCCCACTTCAACTCACCTCTTACTTCGCTCGTGAGCCGACCCTCACTGATCGCGCTACCTCGAGCTTCCAACAGCTGGTTAAGAGAGCTACTTAATCACGCAACCGGAATTTATAGCGTGCATGCATGCGCGAAGAACACGGAATTGCAAGGACTTAGAAAGGAGATTAGGAGAGGGAGCGCCTACGTTCTGCATGGCCAGACCGCGGCGTAGGGGACATAGCCACTCTCTACGCATCGATCTGATCATGCAGGCCGCGGGCTGACTAGACACAGCAAAAAGGAAGGAGAGAGCGGGAAAGACGAAGCTCAAAAAGAAAGATACAGTTACAATGGCGCCCGCCCAAAATTACAGTTACTTGCAAGATTAAGGGCGCCGACTAATCAGAGCTCCGTTGCAGCCGCAAAAAGAAGCGCGCAAGCAGAAGGCATTGCGCGGCAAAATAAATCCCAAATTCGAAATTCCTAAATTTCTAACTAATGCAAAAAAGAAGTACAAATTCAGAAAAGAAAATCCGAAGTTCCGAGAGTCGTCAGGGTTCGACAAGATTCAAAAGGAAAAAGAAAATTCGAAAAGAACGAAGTAAAACTCCCGCGCGATCTTCGCGCCTAAAATCCGACAACAGAATAGGAAATAAGTGACGTCAACCATTACTAATTGCGCCTTGTCGGCGCGACAGCCACTCAATCGGCCATCTCGGGACTTGCCCGGCCCTGAACCCAGCCATCCGAAAAGAAGCGACGTAAAAAAAGACGAAAAAGCGAGGACATCAATGCAATTTCCCTTCGATCCCAATCTCCCGTAATTGGTCCAACCTTCCCATCTTAGGACCCCTCATTGTCATCGCACAAAAAATCGCGCGGAACATAAATTGGTTCGTCACAGGGCAACCATTTCTAGTTGTGACAAGACACGTTTCCTTCCCATTTTTCCTCTTTTTCTCGTTCTTTCGTTTTTTTTTTGGGTGGGGGGGTAACTTCGGTGCAGTCATGAAAATAGTTTGAAAATGCAGTTCAGGCAATCCAGCGAACACAACACACCCCCGCGTGACCCCACCTGTCTCGAAACCTAGGATATATAAATTCACCATTACTAACCCTTTTGCCTCAAGTGCATTTTCAAACTCAAACCCTGACTGCGCCGTAGTTTTCTCTTTTTTTTTTCCCATTCGTTCGCCTTTTTTCGGCACCTTATTACGATCAGATGCATCTGGCAAAGATTCAGGGTCTCGCTCCACTACTGTCCACTGTACAATTTTTCGGACAGTTGGTGGACAGTTGTCAGAGCGGAAAATTGTACAGCGGACAGTGGAAAATGCGACATCGCTCCACTTACTGTCCGCTGTCCACCTCTCAAATTCGTGGCTTCACTACCAGACACAGTGATAGCACTGCAAGACAGGACGTCCATAGGGTTTTGTCCGCCCAAACTCCAGGTGCACTCTCCAAATTTGGGTCCTCAGGGTGAGTCCCTTGAAGGACTTTCCGCGTAACGAATTTTGCAGGCTGGGAGCTGTATATTAACGGACAGTAGATTTTCGACGGGGTTTCTAAAAATTGTCCAAGCCATTTTGCACATGTACACTGGACAGTAAGTGGAGCTACGACCGTCTGTTTTTGTACAGTGGACAGTAGTGGAGCGAGACCCTCACTCTCGTTTCGGGCGTCACTCCACTATTCTCGACATGCACAAAAGACAAAAATCGTTGCGGTGTACCTTTCGATGTTCTAGCAGAAGATGCACTCTCATTTTGCGCATTTAGAGAGTAGTGGAGCGAGACCCTATATATGGTTGTACGGAATAACGAATTGGCGCTTTCTCCTGAAACTCACAGCTACCCCGCACAGCGCCTGCCAGATGTCCCCAATCTTGACCCTTTTCCCAAACGGGAAACCCCAGACGACGCCCTCCACAACGGGCCCCGCCTGCCATTAAGCAGGCACACGACTGTTTCACGAACCACTCTTAGGGCATACTCACACGGGGACCTACAATCCCAAAATCCCCCCAAAAAGGGGAAAAGGCCGGTCACACGGATCTACCAAATTCGCAAATGTACTATTCCAGTGCCCATTTGTCAGCGGCCTGGGACGCCGTGGGGGCAAGGGATTTTGCGGTCACCTCCCGCAAATGCCCTATTTCATTTTTTGCATTTTCTTCGAAAATTGGCAAAAATACGTTCAGAAAAGTTTTTGCACAATTTGTGGATGGCGGCGTGTGACCTGCCAAGTACCAAATCCCCATTTCTCCAGACGGCCTTGACCTTGTCCCATCTGAAAAGGTACTGCAGTGTGACGTGAACCATGCCCAAAACCTCAAATCGGCCCTTCCCAAATCCGCATATTTTGCGGATTTGGGGTCGTCGTGTGAGTATGCCCTCACTCGTACCACGCATGCGGCCATCCCTTGCATTTTCCAACACCCCGAAATCGACCCTCCCCGCATCATTGTACCTCACGGCGTTGCCCTAAATTGCAAAGTCCGCTAAACGGCAAAACGCAACTCATACAAACGCAACCTAAAGGGCTGCAAATTGATACAACTTCAGGGGCTTTACTTATTTCTTTTTCGTGTTTCCTAGATGTCCCACAAAGGTCATTACTTCCCTGCTAGTGGGACTGTGTCCCCGCAAAATGCGCAGTCTCCAAAAAAAGTAAAAAGAAATGGGCACCACTTTTTATCAAGCCCAGTAATATGGGTGGGAGGTGTGGGGAGGCCAAAACCAGTACTGGCCGGTAATCTTTTTTTTTTCTTCTTTCCAATCTTTCATCATCTTTCAATATCTTTCATCATCTTTCAATATCTCTCAATATCTTTCAATATCTTTCAATTCACCTTCACTACCTACCTACCACTACTCTCAAGGCTTATACAGGGGACTTCTGCGAACATAGCTTTGTTGTCACCCTCCAGCCATCAGAGGGGATGCACGTTCCCCCCCGCCCCAACCGTGGCGGGCAAGGACGGGGTGAGGGTATAGCCGAGCATTTTGCCAGTAGCTGCGCCTCCCTTTTCATCGTCCCCCACCCCCCACCTAATAACAGCAGTGTCTAAGGTCAACACTCTCCCACACACCACACTCAACCCACTCACACCCGCACTCACACCCGTGTTGGCCAAGGACCCTACTAATATCGACCAGAGGTATCAAGCGGACTATCACCACCGGTTGGCACCAAGTACGCTTTCTTCTGGGGCTCGAACCCACAACTTCCTGAATGCCACTAACCAACTCAGCTAGGCCGCTGGATTCATTGACGGTAATATTGGTTGTCTATTCTTTTTTTTTCCGTTTCTTTTTTTCCGATTCCCCTCAGAAGGCCCCTACCACCCTTCCTCTCCTCAATCTCCCCGGCGAGGCCCCATCGCCCCCTGTCCTACCCTGGAGAGAGAGCGAGAGAGCGAGAGACAAACACACACACACACACACACACACACACACACACAGAGAGAGAGAGAGAGAGAGAGAGAGAGAGAGAGAGAGAGAGAGAGAGAGAGTTACCCACCTGAGACCACCACCCATCACCATGCTGGCAGGGTGACCTGACCAGACAGCGGTGGCAGGAACCCGGGCTGAGATTTTTACACCCCCTACTCAGAGACTTACGGGTACTCTACACTCCATCCCTCGTTCTCACACACACAGACACAGACACCCCCTGCTNTACACCCCCTACTCAGAGACTTACGGGTACTCTACACTCCATCCCTCGTTCTCACACACACAGACACAGACACCCCCTGCTCAGAGACTTACGGGTACCCTCTCTCCATCACTCATCGCTCTTCCACGACACGGCTTCATCCCAAACGATGCATCATCAGCGAGCCTGATGCGCTTCAACTGAAAGAGAAAGATGAACATGACGCGCTCAATCCCCACTTCGGGGAATGGTGCGCTGCCTGGGCTAACAGTTTCCGATACCAGCAGAAGCATAAGCAACGGCCGGTCTCTCGGTGGGAAAAGCTGGCTCGCCTCTGCGCGCTGGGCTCGCCGTTCAGAAGACGGAGAGGGAGATAGCGTCATCGATCGCGTTGCTGGTGCAATAAACGTCCACGCCTCTGGTATCTGCAAATCCCCATCAGCGGTGATTAGGGGCTTTGCAGCGCTCATCTTTGTCCTGCTTGCATTACAGCTTTGCACCAGCCCTACGCTGCCTCCATTTTTCTCTTTCTCTAGCACTTCATTAACAACATCAGCAGCAATAGCAGGAGTAGGAGGAGGAGGAGAAGGGGAGGGGGGGGGAGAAGGAACTGGAACTGGATCTCAGGCGGCCGCCGTGGACCTCAGCTATGATGATATACGTGCGGATGAGAGAGTGCCACGTGGCTGCAGGAGCCGATTAGAATTGAAAGGTTATCGGGATGGCGAGCACAGACGCCGCTACAGACGTCCTGACGACGGCTCGTTGGAGTTACAGGGAGGGGGGGGAAGAAATGCCGGCGACGTCCGACCGCCCCCGATGTCCGGCGCGTTGCAGGAGCGCTTGCGCGCTTATGCCGCGCGGCATCGCGAATGCGCCGGCAGCATCGAGATGGGCTTGCAGAGGCGCAACCTGACAGCACTATACTACCACGATGTGGACGACTCTCAGTACCGCACGAATCGTTCGTCTCACAATAGTGATGATTCCGATGTCAATGAAAAGACACCGACGATGACGTGGAAGCTACAGGCAGGTCCGACAGGGCGTGCCACGTCGGATGCGCAGGCGGGGGGGATGTCCATGGCCATGGATAATGATCGTTCCAGCGACTCTTGTCGGTACCTCGTATGGGTGACACGTGTTCATCACGGATTGGGCAACAGATTGCTGTCCTTGGTATCAGCATTTGTGTATTCATTGTTGACGGATCGAGTGCTCGTCTTAGATCCCAGCGGCGGGCTGGAGGATCTTCTGTGCGAGCCCTTCCTTGGCTCCAGCTGGCATTTGCCGGCCGATTTCCCCGTCGACCGTGCTGTCAAGGACGCCGTTGATTTCGGCTTTCAGCAGGAGGAGGAGGAGGAAGAGGAGGAGGAGGAGGGGGACGAGCTTGCAGGCGCTGCACCATTTGCCCAGCGGATTGGCGGCGGGAAACGTGCCTCTGTTTCTAGGACTGGTGCTTGGCGCGCTGTTCGGTCGCATCTGAACGCCTCCGTACACGACGGTTCGGGCTCCATTTGGCGCTTTTTCTGCGAATCTGATCAGGCTAGGTTCGGCAAGGTGCGGTGGCATTTCTTCCTGAGCAATCAATATCTGATTCCAGGTTTGCTAATGATTCCCAGCTATCGTGCGCAGCTGGAGCGGTGGTTTCCGGGAGAGCTAATGGGGAGTTGGATGTTCTCTCAGCTGGGGGGGTACCTGCTTCTACCCCGAGATGACCTCTGGGAGGATATCAAGAACAGATACGAGTGCCACATGGCAGGTGCTCACAAGATCATTGGAATGCAGGTGCGCACGTTCGGCGCCGGATATGATACCAAACTCCATGGACGCATAGCTCAATGTCTGTTCAAGCAGCGGATCTTGCCTCTTCCGAACGAGATCGTCGAGCAAGAGGAAGAAGAAAACACCCCGCGATCTGAGTCACCAACAAATCTGACGGCGTTGGTGGACCGGATGGTAGCCAAAGCGTTGGCTGAAGTCGGGGAAAAAGGAGGAGCCGATGATGCCGGCTTGTCGGCTTCGCAGCATACGTCATCGTCGTCGATGGAACAAGGTCGGGGAGCAGCAGCAGCAGAAGGAGGAGGAGGAGGAGGAGGAGGTGGAGGAGGAGGAGGGAGTATGACGGCGAGCAGTAGTTCGCCTTTGCTAATGCAGGCAGGATCGGATGGCGGGTTGTTCGCGTTCTCGTCTTCAACAGTCCGAGTAGGGGTCGGAAGAAGAAGAGGAGAAGCCGGAGGAGGAGGAGGAGGAGGAGGAGGAGGAGGAGGAGGAGGGACGGCGGTGGAAGTAGAAGTAGACGGGAGCAGATCGTCGCCTTTTGTGATGACTTCAGCGAAAATGCACCCGAACGGGGAGGAGACGGCGGAGGCGGGGTCGTTGAAGACAAGGAGAGAAAACGAAGGTGATGGAGTTGGTGGTGATGTGCAGAACGGCGAGGCGGGAGCAGCGAAATGGGGAAGGAGGAATGGCCTCCTTTCTGAGCACAAGGAAGGCGCTCCATGCAATGGCTATGGTGACAACGACGATGGTGGTGGTGATGGCATTGATTGCAATGGAGGGGTGTTAATCTTGCTGACTTGTTTGTATGGTGGCTATCGGGACATGCTGGAACAGATGTTCCGCAATGAGAGCGTGACGATTCCAGAGGGTGGAAACTTGACAGTGAAGACATACCAACCGAGTGTTGAAGGGACGCAACTGAACAATAGCACATACCAGAATCGGAAGGCACTGGTAGAGATGTGGTTGCTGAGCCTCAGCGACCAGCTTGTGATCACCGAGAAATCGACGTTTGGATATGTTGCGCAGGGTTTGAGAGGAGGGGGGCGTCCTATGTATATGATGAGTTTGTCGTTCAAAGGATCAGGGCACAAGAAGAATTGTGCGCTTGCGCCGAGAGGCGACGTCTGCCAAGCATTCCCGCCCAATCTGACTCAGCTAAGGAGGGGATGCCCACGTGGCAGTGAGGGTCGGAGGAAGAAGTGGAACAGGGAGCGGAGAGAGAGGAGTAGCAGCAGTAGTGCCACCATGCTCTCCTCTGCGCTCCCAGATGCAGATCGTTTCTTGGGACGACACCTTGGGAAATGTCTGGATAGAAAAATAGGACTTCAACTCGTATTGTGACAACGTCGACGGGCAGAATTGACTAAGTCCCATTTTTTTAAATTGAAATTTAACCAAGTCTCTCCATGGTATTGAAATTGAGTGATTGACCCATGGTGATGCGATCTGTCTATTTTGGTTGGTGGGCTCGGTTATGAAGCCTATACACACGGACAAGGTCACACAAGCAAGGTGAGCATCAGATCTAGTGAGAGACCGACAGCTCAGCTCCGGACGACCTGAAAATGCGTACGTACATTCCATTGGCACGCACACATGTATAAATCCACTTTTAGTTGATAGCTCTCATTAAAACTGTGTATATACACACACACACACACACACACACACACACACACACACACACACACACACACACACACACANAGAGAGAGAGAGAGAGAGAGAGAGAGAGAGAGAGAGAGAGAGAGAGAGAGAGAGAGAGAGAGAGAGAGAGAGAGGTAGGTTGCACGGTGTGCAACGCTGATGAGTTCGTGCAGACGAGGTGGCGTTTTTGCGGCCTATGCTGCATTAATGACTCCAGTGCAAGGGATGTGAGCGAGAGCGATAGACAGAATTCCAAATTGCAAAATCACGAAGTAGCCCAGGTAGTCATGTACCAAGCACAGAGAGAGCACAATGCACCAAGAGAGCATCCAAATAAGAGCAATACAATGAACTCGAATGTCAATGCTGACGCTTTCTGGCCACACCATCATAGTATCCAATGTCGCTCCTACGGTCTGGCGCCCAGCGCCCAGCCTACACTGCTCAGCCTACCTAACCTATCTACGTTCATACAACAGGAGCACATTGAAGCTGAAGACCAATGTACGTGACGTCATCACCAATGCAGACCGCCAGCATACACCAGGTACGTTCTCTCTCCTCCCCTCATCAGACCTTGTCTCCCCTCTGCATGCGCCTCCTACCCGAAGATCAACATCACCATCACCACGCCTGCGCCCCAGCAGCCTGGCTATGGCCCCGTGCGCCCGCTGCCTCAGCAGTGCACGTCTCAGCTCAGTGGCCATGCGGGCATCTGCCCCGCAGCTTAGCACAGCTGCTCGTCCGCTAATGCAGCAGCGTGGCCACATTGCCCAGTAAGGTCAGAATGCCGTGCCCGTGGGCTCTCACTTTCCTATATGGAAAGTGTGCCCTGGTCCTGGCTGTTCTGGGCCTGTCGTGTAGGGGCCCAGTAGCTTCAGGTTGGCCCCACGTGTCTGCGCCCAGGCCCAGTTTCAGGTTGGCCCCAAGTGTCTGCGCCCAGGCCCAGTAGCTTCAGGTTGGCCCCAAGTGTCTGCACCCAGGCCCAGTAGCTTCAGGTTGGCCGCAAGTGTCTGCGCCCTTGTGGAGTTAGGCTGCTTAGGCACGTCCAGGTAGCCCTCCAGGCTCCAAGTGTTTGCCGCATTCTCATTGGCTCGTGGTAGATGTGTGACGACAATGCTGCATTCTCATTGGTCCGCGGGCACTGCGTGATGTGTCGGCCTCCCACTGCATGTGCCCAGGGCCTCAACCGAATGTGTGTGGCCAGGGCCTCTACCGCATGGGAACTGCTGAGTAGCAACATGAATTGGTCCAAGCTTCGCAGGATCAGGGAAGAGAATCAATGCAGATCAACCTCTCACTGCTGTGCGCGTGTGCCTGAAACCGGGACCCAGACGCGGCCTGGAGTACATCCTCGTTCAAGGAGGAGCCACCATTTTGGATCTGCGAATGGACCCAGAAGCCCACTCGTGGCATTGTGACGGACAAGACAGGGAGACCCTGGTCAACTATGACACGAAATTGGGAAGGAGAATACAGAGGTCACCAGAAGACAAGATGGACCAGATTTGTGAAAGAGCGGCCAGAACATTCAACCTGCATCCACCCCCTACAATTTCAGAAATGAAGTCCGTCTGGGCCTCGCTCCCGGGCCTACCCAGTCTCAAACTGGCAGGACTCCTGTGGCTCCTCTCCCACTCCGCTGTGACCCGTCAAAACACAGACTGAGAACACTGCTGATTTCTGAAGTTCTGCTGGTGGAATGGATGTCTTGCTGAGATTCCCGCATTCTGCTGTGTTTTCTAAGTCTGTCTGTGTGTGCGTGCTTGTGACCTGCGTGCCTGTCTGAGTGCTTGTTGGTATGAGTGTGTGTGTGACCCGCAAGGGTACTTGCTTGTTTGGTGGGCCCGTAGGGCCGGTACTTACCTGTGGCCGTGGCATTGAGGGTGGCAGCAGGGGAAAACACTCGAGTAGCGGAGGCAGGGGCCCCCGGCACCTGGAGCAGGTAGGCCGGTACCGCACCCAGTAGCAGTAGATGTGCCGGGTACTCGAGGCCGAGCAGAAGAAGACAAAGTTGGCATTTTTAGAGGCCCAGTAGCGGTAGGCTAGGTCTAGGCCGGTACCAGTCCATCCAGTCTGAGTCTAGAGCCTGTGCGGGCAATATCAGAGTCTGCAATGATGTTTCCCTCCGAAAAGGAGGAGGTACCGGTTGCTTGGGAGGCCGAGCGCCCTGGAAGTCACCGCCCAGGAGGCAAGTAGGCCGCTATATCAAGAGGCTGAGGCAAGAGCTCAGCCTCATTCTTCAGTGTGCAAGTTTGGCGACA